TTTAAAATAAGTTTATTGACGTTTCAATTTCCACTTCGGAAATCGTTCTCAAAATGTTTTGTATTATTATTATATTATTGTATTTTGAGAACGATTTCCGAAGTGGAAATTGAAACGTCAATAAATTTAAAATGAAATTGTGGCTTATTGCCAATTAAAATAGTAATTGCTTTTGATTTTAAGTAACCCATAGGAAAAAATCAAGTGCTGTAAGATCTGGAGATGTTGGGGGCCAATCTATTGTTACTCGTCTACCAATCCGTCCCCTAGGAAAACTTCTGTTTAAAAAATCACGAACAGGAAGTGTAAAGTGCGGAGGTGCATCGTCTTGCTGTAATCGCAATATTTAATTTGGAAAATAACGATAATTGTCATTTCGAAAAATGTCTGTAAGGGCGGGTATAAATTCGTTTTGTAAAAAATCAAGATATCTTTATCCCGAAAAGAAAAAAGGACCAATAATTATATCCTCGACTATCCCCGCCTATACTTTTTCAGGGGACTGAGTGTGTGCCTCACTCATACAATGAGGTTTCTCTTCACTCTAATATTCAGTCTTACCTATACAGTGTTCCATGTAACTAAAAGACCGCTTCATCGGAAAAAAGGATGATGCATGGATTTTGATTACATAAAACTTTCTGGCCATCCTGCATAAATAATTTTGTTAATGTTAATATCACAGAATATTTATTCTCACTAAAAAAAATCGTTGATTACGTCATCACGCCCAGATGGTGATGGATAACATAACTAATGTGATTTACTATTTTAGTGACGTTATTTAGTAATATATACACACACCGGCAAATTTAAAGGAACAGGTTGTTAATGCAAATGCAATGTATTTCTTTATATTTCTATTTTATAGACTATATCTAGATAGTTTTGAATGCTCCTCGTCACAATAAAGTTTTAAACGTCAAATTAATTTGTTTATTTGTGTTGTTTTACATTTTAAAGACGTACTTTCTGTTAAAGACTTCTAACGAAGTTAATTTGTTTGAGTTTGTTGGAAGTGATTTGTCTTTTGATTTGTTTTAGTCGTGGTGTGCTTATTGTAAAGAGCAAGTAAAAATGCAATACTACCGACTAATATTGGTAGGGTTCTAACAATGGTTGAACGTACAGGGAAGTTGCTGCAATGTTTGGTAAATCACTATCAACAATCCATCGTTGTTTAAGTCATTGGAGACAAACCGGAGAGTATGTAAGAAGAAGGGGCAAGGAAGAAAACGTTTAACCACGTCTGTAGATGATCGATTTATAACGTTGCAAACATTACGAAATAGACGTCAACTGGCAGTTCAAACCAAAAACCTGCTGCAAAATATTCGCGGAACCACCATAAGTGAGCGTACAGTAAGGAGATTTAAAGAAGCCTGTCTCAAGTCATATGTGCCAATAAACGCTCGCAGACTCCAGAGACACCATCGTGCAGAGCGACTACAATTTGGTCGAGAACATCAAAATTCGAATGATAACCAGAGGTAGGCACATCTCACTTCAAAACAGAGAGGAAGTAAGAATTGTTTTATTGAGTAATGGAAGAGACTGCCTCAACAACTGATCGATAGCCCTGTCAGAAGTATGAGAAGACGATTGACTGCAGTTGCAGTTGTTGATGCTTACGCATACCCTGGAGAAAGATTATGGTGTTGTTGCCTTTCATTATTATGTGAAAACCCTTCTGAGAAAAGATTATGGTAACTAGCAGCTCATGTATAAATGACCGACCAAAACAATTTTTACAAAATGAATACAACGCATAAGTCAGAAGAATATTATTATTTTACTTTTACAAGTTAATACTTTGTCATATCAATTTACTATTTTAGTTGGGACCAAGCCACAAGATTAGTTTATTTCCAACTAGAATAGCAAATTGATATGATAAATTAAATTATTATTAAGTATTAGGTTAAAAAAATAAAAAAAATAAAAAACATAAGATTAGTCATTTAATTTTTTTTACTCCAATACTTACAAACTTTTTTAATTATACAGTGATCGTTACACACATTTCTACTGCACCTTTTCCTTGTTAAAACTGGAGGCTTTGCTTTTTATTGTGTGGTTCAACTTCCTGTAGGTATTTTACACTGTTTTGTTTCCCATTGTAGTCCCCTTGATTTTCTTCTCAAATTTTGAGGTAACACTAGTTGTTCTGCTGTCGTTGTAAGAAACAATCTTCTCTTTTCATTTTTGGTTTCGTTCCATTTTGGATGTAAATTTGTCTAAGTAATAAATGAGGCTTCCCCAGCCACGTCTAAAGCATTCATAAAAAATGCAAAAGGCCAACGGTTAGTTCGTCTTTTGCATATATATTTATGAACCATTTGGTCTAGGGTATCGACACCACATTTTGTACTATTTTAATAGAGTATCGTATCTGGTTTTTTTGTTAACATCATCTGCACAGTAAGCATTGCGATGCATGGTAGACAGGATCAGGACACTTCTTTGTTTTTTTGGAACGTAAGAAACAAGAGATGCTTTTGGGAATCCGAAAATTGAATGCTTCTCTAAACGGTTCTTGTTTGGTAGAAATTCCCGTGGAACAAATCTCTTATTTTTTTTTCATTCTGCCCACAAGAGTTAATGAATGTGTCAGTAATTCATGTGCAAGAGCAAGATCAGTTAAATAGTTATCGCAAGTCACATTCTTCTTGGAATTAGAATAAGGCTCAACGAGTTGCTTTACAACTTGAGATACAAGACTTTTGGCTACTGTACTGCCGTTTTTCCTGTATATGGTATTACACCTAAAGGGTAATACGTTTCCGAGCCACAGGCCCACCATGCCATCACCACCTTCATGCCACCACCTTCATGTTATACTTATCTGGCTTTGAAGGCATATACTGCTTGAAAGGACACCTACCTCGATACGGAATAAGCTGCTCATCTACCGTTATGTTTTTTTCCTGGTAAATAGTATTTCTGAAAGTTTTGCTTGACTTGATTCCACACATCGCGTATTTCTTCTAATGTGTCGTTCCTTCTTCGTCCAGACCTCGTGTCCTTACCGTCAAATCGAATAAATCAGCAAAATTTTGATTCGTTTGTAGTTAGTAGTTGTCCAATAAAGGCATATAGCTTCGCGGAGTCGCAATATTTCCAGTTTTCTATCCCCAGGACTTTTTCGGCTTCTTTATTTGTACACTTCACTATTTCGTTTACAATTTTTTCGTCCAAAAACAAACAAAAAGAATTAACAGGATCATCTACACTTTGATATGGGGCTAACATTACTTTGGGCACTTTGCTTTTTACTATGTCGCAGGATGGCATACGTCCTGTCGGTTGTGGTTGACCCTTCCAGTTAATTCCATCCTTAGTTTTAAAAATTACACACTCTGAAATCTGGGAACTTGTAGCTACACATTCTTCTTCATTATCATTCAGTACTACTTGCTGATCATCCTCTTCACTTGCTTCCGAAAGATGATCATCAATGTCCCTTTCAATGCCACCTACTTCAGGAGATTCTTCATCATCGTAATCTCATAAATTATTAGCAATATCTTGCAGTTCTGCAGTTGCTAATGGTTTTCGGGACATTTTATTCTCACTATCTACTTTCTCTGTAATTCTATATAGTTTTAGGAGCTTAGTTGTCGAACATAATATCGATATTAAATGACTGATAGCAGATGCATTATTTATTTTAAAATATGTATAGGTAACTACCTAACAATATTATTGCATTCCATCAATAATTATCAGTTTTTAAAATTCATTTAGAATAGATATAACACATATTGTAAGCATCTCTTTGATGTTCACATTAAAGAGATGTTTACATTGTTTGTTACACGTTTAGACTTTATTTTTGGATTTTCGGAATCATAAAGGTCGTTTAGATAATCCACAAAAACAGTACCTGACTGTCAGATAAACTTCTGTAATAAAGATTTAGACTTTAGGTATAAATACAAATAGGATCCACCGTAATGCTCCTTTACGTGACAAAATTCTTTCCACGGAATAATTTCAAAAATGATAATGAATATTTTGAATAGCTCATGACTATGTTGAAGGAAACATACTTCTAAATAAATTCAGTGATGCATAAAATTCAATAAAAATTTTTTTAACCGTTTATGATAAAATAATTGGCGTCTCGGGCCCGTTGGACCCACCTTGCTCGGAAAAATTAGACCTCGCCGGCTAATTGACAAAACACCGTACAGCTGGTATAAGCTGCTCTTGAAGAAAGGAAATAACCTAATACAATACAATCTTGACAATTTCTTTAGGAGCATGCCCACGCGAATTGGAGCTTGCATAAGGAGTATGGTTAGTAACACCGACTACTAAAAAAACAAATAAGTAAAAACAGTTTAAACATAATTCCTTGTTCATTGAAATTTTGTATGCTATTGACTTTAAAACAAATAATTTTAATTTTATTATTTAAAAATTTATGGGATTCTTTAATTTTTATGTATTGGTGATTAAATTGCTTTAAAATAATAAGAAATATCAGATGATTCAATATAAGTTTTGTTGTGTGTATATGCCAAAAAATCATAATTTAAAAATGAAAATGGATTTGTTTCGAGATTTGTCTCCAGCCGCATATAATACCTCGAAAAAATAAATTTATTCCATAATTTTACCCGTCACTGTATAACAATATTATTTTGTAGCACATTGTTTATTTTCGAAGTTTTAGGTCATCAGACACCTTACGCGTCGTTTGCTGTTGTCCGAGTTTTCACATTAAAATTTAAATATAAAATGCCATATTAGTTTAAAAATTAATTTTCTTTTAAAAGTTATTATTTTAAGCCATATACTTATACGAAAAAAAGTAAAATAAAAAGTTATGCAGGTTCACTATTGTTGATTAGTGATTACTCTATGTTTTGTAATTTGCAATGTTGCATCTTGTAGAAATGTATTTACTAAGTTGTGCTTTTGCGCATTAATATTTATTATATTATACTGCAATACTAATAGATTATATATAGTTTTCCTTAACAAACATACAGCTGTTACTGGTCATGCTACTTCATCCATATTTCTAACAGGCTTAATACTAAATGGTTGGCAGTGCGATTGGTTCTGGATGATTTTTAGCTTTGGAAGTGTTTTGCCATTTGCATATGATACAATTATAAGTATGGGAATACTTATTGGAAGAAAATACTAATTTATCATAGTCGTAAATCAATACGCATAAAAGTTGTTGCACGATTTTCTTTCCATTTTATCCATTTGGCTTAATAAAGAAAGTTTTGGTCATTAACATTATAATTGTTTTGATTGTTTGATTGATTCATTAATTGTTTGCAAAGTGTGATGTATAGATATTTGTAAATAATTAAAAATGCATAATAAAATACAAATATGTAAATACTGCTTTTAATTCATATACCAAGTTTCCTTGTTATCTTATGAAAAAATTACCAAACAAGTTGTACTAAGGTGTTTTATTCTTATTTTCCAGAATACGGAATTGATTATATACTTTAGGTCTTTAGAGACTTGAGTATATAATAGGTAATAATAGTAGATCTTTTAATCTACCTCGTATAACGTTGCTTAATCTTATATTGCAAAAAACGAGAACATCGAGAAGAATCCAAAAATGAAAAAAATATACAGAGTGTTACATTAAAAAAAGATACGTTTGTTCCACCGTGTCAATGTGGATATATTTTCAAAGTATACTCCTATTTAAGCTACAACTTTTACCTAAATAATTTTTTTGTATCTGTTACGACAAATGAGTAGTTTGATTTTCTTTCACTACTGTCGCACCCTGTATATATATATATATATATATATATATATATATATATATATATATATATATAAAGAATGATACTGAAAAATAATATTTGGCCAATACAAACTAGATTGTCCAGTGCCTCATCAGTTTCTTATCACTAAAGACACGAGATAAATTTTATTTAATTCCATAAACAGCAGATAGGAATTTTATGCAATGCTTCAAGAAAAGGTTATCAAAAGAAATCAAAATAAATATTTTAATTATTGCATTAAACAATATTGAATGATTTACGACTAAATTTAGTATCAGTTATAATCAGTTTATAAAAAAGATGGTAAGTGTTTATTTTGCTGTATTTTCTTGCCAGTTGGAGTTGCAGACTATTTTGTATGTAATATAAGTAAATTTAGGCTATTTATTATGTCAAAAAAAAAAGAGGTTTAACCCGTAACCACAGACGCGGAGTCATTTTGACTCATTGCAAGTACGTAGTGATGAGTTTCGAGATTTCCCCCCACTCTATATGGCCAGGCGTAGATGTACCTTTTCAACGATCAGTATTCAACGGTTAGTGAGACGGCTGTGTCGTTTGTAAAGTTGTTACGATATGAATTGGGAAAGAACAATTTTTGGGGTCCGGTCAGTAATTCTACGGCGAACATAGAAATAAAGATAAATCTTTGTAATTCTAATTATTGATTACTCCTGGTATTAGTCCACATGGATAGTGGTGTGGCTTATTAATTTGAACGTATCTTATTGGGTAATACTGAAATGTAATTGGTCAAATTTTTCGACAGTGCATACACTATAACCAAATCTGGCTTTGCCGTTAGCAGGTAAAAATTGTTTCTCATGTTTCACAGGCGGCAAGCATTTAAATAAAGACAGTAACAGTGTCGTCGTGATAAATTAATTTTATTTTAAACTTATTATATAAATTATTTTATTTTTATAGCAAAATTGTAAACTCATTTTTTAGTTCTCAAATTAATAAGCACATTAGATTTCATTTGCGTTATGTATGTATATACTTTTAATCATCAATTTTAAATTTCAATAAAAGTTAAGGAATTTTTAGGGTCCAGTCCCCAATAATTCAGAAATTAAACATTATTTGTAATTGATCACTAACGGTATTGTCCATATTGCAGCTGTGGTTTATAACTTTCTACGTATCTTATCGGGCACTACTGAAGTGTAATTAGTCAAATTCTTCGGAAGTTATTACGCTCAAACTTGATCGTTATCTGGTCAAAAATGCCTTCTCAGGTTTCTCATACTAAACGATATATTCAGTATCGTCGTGTACGACAGCAAGTTCACGTATATTTTTAATATTTTTGTGCAAACAGTAGTGTTGTGTTTTAGTTAAGTTTGAGTTAAGACAGTAGAAAATAAGTTGTGAACACATTAAAGAATATCGAGATGACAATAGAGACATTGTGTATCTTGATGGAACGTGGTTTGACACCCATGATGTAGTTCAATATGGCTGGATGGATGATAGCAAAAAGTGCTGCTTGAATACTCCTTGTTCCAGAGGAAAAAGAATTATAATTCTACATGCTGGAACTAAGAGCGGGTTTGTACCTAATGCCTTGTTATTATCGGCCAAAAACATTAAACAGTGTCATCAGCTGATTATCATGAGGATATGACGGCTGAACTTTTCGAAAAATTGGCAACGGAACAGCTGTTACCGAATATTAAAACAAATTCCGTGATAGTAATGGATAATGCGTCATACCATTCTAGACTATACACCAAAATTCCAAATACTAGCTCCAAGAAGGAAGATATCATAGAATTTATGGAGAACAAATGCATGGCAACACCTAGTAAATGTACCAAAAAGGAATTGTTGCAATTAATTAAGCAACAAAATTTTCAAAAAGAATATGTAATAGATAAACTCTTTGAACGCCACGGGCATACGGTTTTTCGGCTCCCTCCATATCATTGTGTTTTCAACCCAATTGAAATGATATGGGCCAATGTAAAAAAGAAATTGCGGAAAATGAATCAATCTCCCCAATTAAGTGACGTTGTTGTCCAAAATATAAGAACAGTGATCGAAGAACTTAACAAAACTGACATTTGGAAAAATTGTGTAGCGCATGTTCAAGTAAAAGAAAAAGAATATCCTACTTTACCACCAATTGAACCGGTAGTTATAAACACAAACGACGACTCAAGTTCTGGACACAGGGATAGTGATAGTGTTTAATTGTTTGAATATTTCTACAAAGACTTCCACAACTTGTCAAAAATATGTTCTGTATATCGAAGTAAATGTGATCTCTCGATTAATCTATAACCTAAGAGACAATTCGACTGTAAGACGAATTGGCCGATTTCATGTAAGTATCTTTCAAAAATAAGCTCTTTAAACCGATGAAACTTACAGATCATATTCATGATTATTTTTTACCAAAAAAAGGGATCAACTTTGTTTTGAGCGTAACTTGCTTACGTTTGATGCTAGAAACTTTTTTAAAAATCAAAAATAAAGATTTCTCTAAACAATTAAAAAAAAAGTAAAAAAATATATTTTTTTTATTATTTCACGTTGAATTATTCGATATGGAATTTGACGAATAGGTAAGAATCTATTTTTCATTAGCTATAACTCTGCTTCTGCTGGGTATACAGACTTCATACATATACTATTGTTTTCACTTTTTTATAAACTGTATTTTTGCTACCAACATTTTTTCCATAAAATACTTACCTTTTGAGTTATTTGCGAGAAATCGTCCAAAAACGTGGTGTTTTTGATGAAAAATGAATATATTCACTCGCAAATAACTCGAAAAGTATTGATTTAGTAAAAACCTCTATAGAACAAAAGTTACCTAGAATTAGTCAGTTTATCCACTTCCGGACTTATTTTGGATGTATATCTTTTCACCCCCCAAGAAGGTGCGGTACTCACCCCCAGGGCAAAAATACACATCGGCACAATATCACTTTTTTTCCTTGACACGTTAGCTATATGTGTATGACAAATTTCATATCAATCCCAGTGGTTCTTTAAAATTTAGAGGTTTTTACAATATTTTACCGTTAGTGAATGGACTATATTGTGTATTAACTTTTAATCATCTTTGGTGTCAAGTTCCTAAAGAAATATGAATAATTAACAATATTATTACTGTTTAACAAAATATTAGACCTTAATTTAAAAATAAAAGTTTATTATTTAATTGCTATTGCGCCGCCTATGTTTTACAAAGAGGCCGACACTTGAGTGTCGAATTTTGTTTTTATGACTTGTCCAACTGACATCGTAGAAACTTTATATGTTATTTGCATTTTATTACGACTTCAGTTTTCGACGGAGTCAAAAAGACTACAGGTCTGTGATAACGTTATATTTCTTGTTTCCATATTTTATAAATCTGCTCGGTTTATTTTAGGTTTTAGTAATGGATTTCGATTGGCTACAAGTAGCGTACAATAAAAAACAATGGAAAGGAAGACTTGAAGAGGCTTATGTTCAGATGTGGACGTGAATGGCTAGACGAAGAAGAAGAAGAAGAAGAATGGATTTCGAAAGTAAAGGTGGTCCATCAAAAAGAATCAGATATGGCGATGCAAACTATGAAGAAACTTTGCTGAAATGGGCGGATGAGGTCGATGAAAACGAGAGCGATGCTGATTCAGATTCCGAATTTATTTATAGCGGTCATGAAAGCGATTCGGAGCAAGAAATGGAGGATAATTGTGAAAGACTTTCTAGTGAAGATGAAGGCGTAATAGAAAAAGGTGAGCCATCGCATGAAGTTTCTGTGGAAAACTATTTTTACGGAAAAAAACCGTTTCAAATGGTCCAAGATATCCCCGTATTCTAAAAATACACGCACTTTGCAACATAATATTGTAATTAAGTGTCCGGGTATAAAAATTACAAAAATTCATAAAGCTGATCCAGAAGAAATTTGGAATGTGTTTTTTGATAACCGCATTATTCACATTATTCTTGAATACTCAAATTTACGCCTGGCAAAATTGAGGGAGAAATATCAAAACAAAAATTCAAGTGATATTCGGGATTTAGATATTGTTGAGCTGAAGGCTTTTATTGGAATGCTTTTGCTTACAGCTATCTTCAAATCTAATCACGAAGATATTCGTTCAATTTTTGCTACTGATGGATCGGGCAGAGATATATTTAGATGTGTGATGAACTCGAATCGTTTTGCTGTCATACTCTCATGCTTACGATTCGATGACCCAGAAACTAGACTCGCACGAAAAAAGGATGATCCTTTAGCTCCAATATCCGAGATATTCAACGCTTTCGTTAAGAATTCCCAAAGCGCTTACACTCTAGGTACAAACACATGTATTGATGAAATGTTAATTTCATTCCGAGGACGGTCAAGGTTTAAGATGTACATGCCAGCAAAGCCTTGTAAATATGGGTTGAAAATGATGGCGTTGACAGATGCTAGAACTGGATATTTATATAATGCATATATATATTGT